CCTATCCCCTGTAGTTGCCTTGCCCTACCCACGAACTAAGTAAAAAGTTTAACTACAAGGGTAGGGACCTAACCAAATTTAATTAAGGCTCCAAAACTCCTCAAATCAATCATCTACACCTCAAGATGTGCGAACATGAGAAACAATGGATTTTAAGTCTAGAAATAGTATTTCTTGTAATGCATTTTTTGAACCGTCAATTTTCAAGATTTTTAAGTATTTAAAGATTTGCTCAATCTATACTACTTTTTAACCTTTAAATTTTATAATTAGATATAAAAATAAATTTTCAAACGATCACAAAAATTTTCAACACTTAAACGATATCTTTCAACACTATTTAAAGATGCGTCGTACTTTAATGGTTTAAGGCCTAATCCTTATACAAACCAATTCCATATATATATAAGAAAAAACCAACAAAAACTGAAAATATGGGACTTTAACAAATTTGTCCATATCTTTCCTTAAAATTACCAGAGCAGACATAATCTTTTGTTCGATGAGGCGCGTCGTAGTCTACTTTTGGAGAATAAGGCTCCCGTTTCGCCTTCCATAAATTTTATCTGCTTCTGAGGAACTTTTGACTAGAGTGGAAAACACCAAATTACTTCCGACTTTACCCCTTAACAAACCCTCTTGTTTCTTAAATGCCCAAATTTGCCAAACGACGTCACCTACGTCCTTGTATATTTTCGCGAAAATGTAGGGAAAATAGTAAGAAAACCCCTCAGTCCCAAAGAGAGATCTGGATGGATTCAATATATTGGTGGCCGGTAATTTTCAGCTCAGCTCGGTCAAGTTCGTCATAGCTGAAGTGAGATCCTCTTTTAATGGTTTTGGTACATTTCTGTTAGATTTGAGATAACATGCTTCTAGTTTTCTTATGGAGTTTTATATTATTGTCCATTTACCACATTGATTGACTTGTATAAACTACTTTTTTCTGATTAGCCTGGCAAAGTAGGTATGAAGTTCATGATTCTTTTGCACGAGTTTGGGTTCTTTGGGTATAAAATAGAGAGAGAGAGTGCTTTGCTGTGCACTCTCAAAGAGATTAATGTAAGCATGGGGTTTACCGGTAAAATAAATTTTATGAGAAAGAAAAAATTTGCAAGTGGTTAAACAAAATGTGCTTGTGATGAAATCATGAGATTCTGGATTCTAATCCAGGTCACCTAACAAAAAGAAAGCGGGCAAGAAAAAAAAAAGAGAAGGAAGAATAAAGGGCTTAATTGACTAGTATGGCACATGACGTTTTTGTGGATTGGATGATAACACGCGGAATCTTATGATAAGGATTCGTCGCTTTATTATTATTTTTTTGTTAGGTGGTGACCCACCATTCTGATTCTGGAAATGCAGAAATGAGGGGCATTCTAGACAATTTGAACACAACCTATTTATTTGCACATGCTGGAAACAAGGGGCCTTTTAGTCATTTTGCTCTAAACACAATTCCTTCCTGGTTCTCTGCGAATGCAGAAATCAAGGGATTTTGGTCCTTGTTGCTCTTTCCCGACCGTTCCCCCTCGCTTGCTCTGCAAATGCAAACAATACAGTTCCCTTTAGTTCTGCAAATGCAAAGATCAGGGGCATTTTGGTCATTTTGTGCACTCCGGTTTTCGCAATACAGAAACCAGGGGCATTTTAGTCATTTTCAACCGGCCTGCGATTTCCCTCCCTGTTTTGCAAATTTAGAAACGGTGCTATTTTAGTCATTTTGTACTTGACAAATGCATGATACTCTCTCTAACTGGTTATGCACAAATTCAGGGGAGATGATTGTTGGGCCGACAAAGACCCTGTTTATGGATGAGATATCAACTGGCTTAGACAGCTCCACCACCTTTCAAATAGTAAAGTGCCTTCAACAAATTGTGCACTTAACTGATGCCACCGTTTTCATGTCGCTTCTCCAGCCTGCTCCTGAGACCTTTGATCTCTTTGATGACATTGTTTTGCTATCTGAGGGTCAAATTGTGTATCAGGGGCCTCGAGAACATGTGGTCGAGTTCTTTGAGTCCTGTGGCTTCCGGTGCCCTGAGAGAAAGGGTACTGCTGACTTCTTGCAGGAGGTAAATTTGGTTTTCTGATCTCTCTCTCTCTCTCTTAATTCATTTAATAAGTCTGATACTCAAGGTGCATTTCTCTTCCCTCAATAACTCCATGTATTAGTCTCGTTTTTCTGTTTAATTCTTGTCTTTTGGACCGAAGGAAACACACTATAGGATTCCATCTAGGAATGACTATATATTACTAAAGCACTCTGCCTGTACTCGTAAGTTTTTGCTTCAATTTAAATGAGTGACCATTACATCTTTGAGCGTCATGAAATTTCCCAGCTTTCAACAAATGTCCAAAATGCTTTCAAAAAATGGTTATGCTCCTATATTTTGGTCTAGAAGAGGAATTGTTGCTTCAGTGATTAAAAGTTGGGTTGGTTGAAATGGCAATGAGCTCCATTCTTTTTTGACACATCAAATAGTATACAATGGTTCCTTAACCATGAACTTAGATTGCATTTTGCATATGCAAACTAAGTCATGGTAAATTGCTTCAAGCATTTTCATCATGATACCAATTCGAATCCTTTTTCATTTATTGTGTTCTACATGGGATTAGGAAGTCCTGTTCTAGTTAGCACTTTGGGCCACTACTCATTGTTCAAGAAAAAGCCAGAAGTTTTGAGTTGGAATCATTGGTTTTACAGGTTACTTCAAAGAAGGATCAAGCGCAATATTGGGTTGACAAGAGAAAACCATATCGCTACATCCCTGTTTCAGAATTTGCAGGAAAATTCAAAAGGTTTCATGTTGGGATGAACCTAGAGAATGAACTCGCTGTTCCATATGACAAAAGCAGAAGCCACAAAGCAGCTCTGGTTTTCACCAAGTACTCTGTTGGGAAATGGGAGCTTCTTAAGACCTCCTTTGCAAAAGAATGGCTTCTCATCAAGAGAAACTCCTTTGTTTATATCTTCAAGACAGTTCAGGTTCAGCCTTTGTCTCTATCTCATGGAATGAAGTATTTATTACTTCTCTTTCTCTCTAATACAATTTGTATTAAACTAATCTTCTTCTGGTTACAGATCATATTAGTGGCTTTCATCGGAGCAACTGTGTTTTTGAAGACACGGCTTCACACTAACACAGAAGAAGACGGTGGGATATATATAGGAGCACTTCTATTTGGGGTGGTATGTAACTTGTTTAATGGATTTGCTGAGCTTTCAATGACCATCCAGAGGCTTCCTGTCTTTTACAAGCAGAGAGATCTCCTCTTCTACCCTGCATGGGTTTTCACTCTCCCAAATATGCTACTCAAAGTACCCATATCAGTGCTTGAGTCAACAGCTTGGATGGTAATGACTTATTACACAGTTGGCTTCGCGCCTCAAGCTAGCAGGTATAACAAAATTTGAAATTTAGAAGTTATTGTGTTTATTGAATAGTTTATTTTATTTCATTAAGCTGGTAGTAATATGTTGTCTTTATGCAGGTTTTTCAAGCAGTTTTTGATCATATTCTTGATCCAACAAATGGCATCTGGGCTTTTTAGGGTCACCGCTGGGATTTGCAGGTCAGTGACCATTGCCAACACCGGAGGAGCTATGTCTTTGCTTATGATCTTCATGCTCGGAGGCTTTATCCTTCCTCGAGGTCTTTATCTTGTCCTTTATATGTTTTTATTTGTGTGTGTGTGTGTGAGAGAGAGAGAGAGATAATCAGAGAAACAAGAGCTCAACTTGTGAAACATTTTGCAGGATACATTCCTATTTGGTGGAAATGGGGCTACTGGGCTTCACCTCTTTCTTACGCATACAATGCCATCACCGTGAATGAAATGTTTGCTTCAAGATGGATGACCAAGAGGGTGAGATTCGCTAATAAGATATTCTAGGAGTCATTGAAAAGTTGGAGGGTAACTACATCTTAAATATTTGAACTTTTGTCGAATATTTTACAAATTTCTAAAAAACACCTTTTATTTCTGAATTTCAGGCGCCTAATAGAACCCCTTTGGGTATTGCGGTTCTTGTTAATTTTGATGTTTTTCCTACGAGCAACTGGTTTTGGATTGGGGCAGCCGGTCTGTTTGGATTTATTGTGCTCTTCAATGTTTGCTTCACCCTTTCACTCGTGTATCTGAATCGTAAGTGCCCTGAATAACCTGATTCCTTTGCATGGCTCTAGAACTCTAGATTCACAAATGAGCCATTTCTTGTCTTCTTCTTCTTCTTCTTCCTCTCTCTCTCTTC